GCTAAGACATATTTACGTGTCTCTTCTGGAAGGCCATTTATTCAATTTGATTCAAAACGTTATTCAAAAAACCAAGCGAGGAAAGATTATAACTAACGGATGGCGGCATCTTACCTGTGCGAGGCATCGCTGAGCCCAACTAAGAGGTCAAAGCCAGCGCTCCAGAAACCATACACGAGACTGTTTGTGAACAGATATCGAGGTATGTTCGGTATAGACAATTGCTGTACGGTATAGAGCAGTTTTTAAAGGCAAGTTTTCATGAGAGACGAGATGCCTTCGTGCGCGAGATCAAAGCGCCGAGTACATGGCACGGTCTCATTGTCGTCACTCCAAAGGGTCAGATTTTGGGGCGTGTTCAATCTCATATTGCTAAATCATCCAAAGCGCCACCCTTAGGTTATATGATAAGAAGTAAGAAATGTGCGATGTGCATTTCGGTGTGGCTTGTTTCGTTCAAAATGTTTATTTACACAGACGAAATAAAATTCTCAATAAAAGACATTTGTTATAAGAAAAGGAGTACAAAGAATTTGAGACTCACATTCTTGAGGCAGTGATTAGGTATGATTTACATGTTCCTTTTAATACTCTTGTACCGTAAAGTCTATGCGATTCATAATAATGTTGTTCTGATCTTACTTGACAAATGGGATCAGGCACTTTGTGAATCTCTTTCGTATCTTAAAATATTTCAATGTATTTATTTATATTGCATATACCCATCAAATTGTTCTTGCATATTTAAGTACATACGTTTTCTCAAATATTAATTCAAAACTTTTTTGTATACCTACACCATTTTCTTCAAGGTTTTCCCATCTTTTGATTTTTTTACCATATCGTACCACGCAGAGTGTCACAAATCGATAGGGTGACTTAAAAGTCTGCAGCATCCATACTTTTTCAGAAGAAAGTGTTCCAATGTTCCTCTTGATACGTTTAATATTATCTTTTACCTCTCACATCTTTTTCAAATGCTGTGCAACCTTGATAATTTGCGGGTGAAAATATCGGAACAGTCAATAGTACGGACTCTCGAAGGGAAACCGACTTCCCGAATGACAGTTTTTTACTTTATCGCACTTACTTTGCAAGAAGAGACCGTATTGTTCTTCATTGAGACAATTAAAAAGCTAAAACGTGGATAATCTGGATTCCAATGTGGCGAATAGAAATTGCATGAAGATAATACTGTCTATTAACTATATGTAGATTTGTTGAAATGGGTCTACCAAACTTCATATTTTTTTAAAGTACTGAACAACCTATACCCTTGTATTCAGCAGAATGAATCACGAATAAATTTGGTAAGTTTTGTCAAGTTGATGCCATCTGCTGTCCCATTTGTTATTTTCTTTTGAACTCGAGACAATTTGATAATCTTACGATGATACGATTCTTAAGATGTGTGGTAAGCTCGCACAACAAGTACAGCACAATAATATCCACTAGTTGGAGAATTTAGTACTCATTGCCCCCCAAATTAAATATATTTTTGTTTAGTTAACTATTCTATTATTGAATATGGTTAGTAAAGTAAATATGCTCATTATTTTCATGAAAAATTGTTGATTATCACTTTATTTAAGGCATACGTGCAATTAAAATTTGAACCATTAATGAAAAGTCCACAAGAGCCAATCTGAACTCAGAACTGAACTGGAAATCGTTAACTGTGTTTTTATAACACATACATAGCCAAGGTATTCCCAGACGGCCATAACGTAATGAGGAAGGAATATTACATCTGCGGAAGATGTCCTCGTGGGCTAGGCCTGTAAACTGCTGGTGTTTTCTTTTACCAACACTGCGGCTTCTTCGCCATACAGCTGCGAGCAGTCTCACAGTACAGCCCTACGCAAACAGACCTGCTCCTCGTCTCGTACATGTGTTCCAGTGAATGTTATAGTGATACAGTAACAGTTTTCATCAACTCAAAATAGTGTGGTGTTAATATTCTAACAAAGTAGTGCAACATTTTCAACCGAACGCTGACTTTCGCCAGTGTATTTAGATGCCAGCTCAGGTCTACCAGACCGAGGGCGAAATGGAGGTCGCTTACCAAGAAGGCGACGCCGTGAAAAATCTTCCTACAAATTCAGAGCATCTACGAGATCAACGTCAACAAGATCAACGGTTACCTCCACCCCATCGCATCAGCCTCACATGTTAAATGGAATATTGCCGCATGACAATTTAATGTCAACTCAATAAGGTCAGTAACTATCTGCCGGCCAACGGCAACAGCGAGTCTCAAGGAACGGTAATACCAACGCAAGTGCAGAACAAATTTCCCAAGAGCCCAGTGGTAAGTGAGGGCGTGATCCGTGATCCGAATCTAAACATGCAACCAAACAAAAAAATCGTGTTTACCGATTCTCAAGATTATGGTTTTACTCTTATAAATAGATTTGACCCTTTAATGGACCTGCGAGTAAGTGAATCAACGGCATCTCCTGGAGTATTGTTTGACCTGGCTTTGTTATTAGTGAATCTCTTGTTGGCTTATAGAAATAAAAATCTGTTTTTATAAATCACTGTCCTTGTTTGGATATAACAATAACTATTTATCACTGAAGACTGAATATGTTGATAAATTATTCTGCTTTAATGATGTGGATAATTATTTACGTAATCCTGTGTAACAAATATCTTATATACTCCCCCATGTGCCTCCTACTCCGAATTCAAATTCACTTCACTTATAACGTAATAATATATACTTTCTAATAAGAATGCTTTCTGCTTACATAATTTCATATTAAATTATGTTTAAAAATTTTAATCATTTTATTTATTTAGTTTTTAAGTACTCTGTTTTTATTTAAAATATTGTAGCTATTATTTGCCTG